GGGTTTTGTTATCAATTTATCATCTGACATATCTTGGAAACAACCTTCTTCCGATCCATAGTTCCAAGATAATTGAACAGCTTTTATAGGCTTATGCTCACCCTCGCAGCTTCTTTAATCGCATCATTAGTTGATAGCATTTTGATGTGTGATTGATAGAATATAATTAATACTGATGTTAAACAAATCAACATAAAAATTTACAGATTTATAGTACCAATTAGTAAACTCTAGTGGCATTTTTCAATCTATTTGGTCACAGCACTCCCGAAACAGTTATAATAACATAGAAATTCAAAAGGAAAACCTCTTCTTTCTTTCGGTTTTCAGAACATTGACACATTAAAACAAAGTACGGGATGACCTATTTTTTGAAACAAAAACCAAATCTATTCGAGAAGTTTGTGACTTGAGTCATCCTTTAGTTAACTCGCATTAGATAGGTCACTCCAACAATTCCAGTCCCATGTGGCCATTATCTTCCATCGGCCATGAGGTGAACAAGCCAAATTGTTGGCCAAGAGAAGGTAAAAACATCAGCTTAGAGCTCACCACAAACTTTAAAGCATTATTGTGAGAGAACTTTATAAGAAACTGACATGCTTCTTTCTGTTGGGATTTTTGGAGGCTATCTTTACTTTGTATTTATTTAAGAAGCTTAGTAATCGGCAAAGCACCAGCAGAAAAGGAGAAAAAATGGCTGAAACTGAACTTACCGTATATGGCTTATGCATACCGGATATCGCTTCTTCATACCGGATATACTTGCAACTAACCATATTTGCATTAATGCTTTAAAATTGATTCTGAACTCACAAACTTAAAGAAAAAATGTGATTACCAGCAAGATTCAACACTTAAGAGCGATTTAAATAGGAAGAAATCCTCTTCCGACACTTTATTACCAAAGCAAAACATGATTTAAACACTTGAAATCATAAAAGAAAGATTTTTCCAGATTTATAAGAATTCTACTATTCTTATCAAATCTCACTTTTTATCCCTCTTTCACTCTCGAAAGTTTTCTTACTTTTGCACTACCCAAGACTCCTATTTATAGACCTAAATGAAGTTCCATTTCGGTTATTAACTACCAACAAACAAGGCTCCAAGTTGTTGAACATTCCAACCAACATCAGTTGAAATAAACTGGTAACTGAAGGCTCCATTGAACTGAATTTATTCTAACAGATTTGGTAAAAATAAGGTTGTCTAATTCTTCTTCAAGAATCACTTTTCCTTACAATCTTCTCCTTGATTCTTGAGAAGAATTTTCAGATTTATTACAGCTAGAACCTTCAGAGCACTTCATCAACATCATAGCCTCCAAGCATGTTTGCACACTCTCCATCTTGCTTCCCTCCTTTCTTTATCCACCTGTGGTTTCTTCTTGGACAATCCTTCTTATAGTGCACTTCTTGATTACAAATCCAGTACACTCGTTTTTCTTTTCTTTCTTGGACACTCAGCAACTCTCCATTCCTTTTAACAAGGTTTCCATTCAGCTTCATATCCAATTCCTTCGAGTAGGCTGCTACAGCAACTTCTTTTAGGGTTAGTGATTCCTTACTATATTTGATGGTATCCCTTAATTGATCAAAGGCTGGTGGCAGAGAATTCAACAAGAAAATGGCTTGATCTTCTTCATCAATCTTGATGTCCAGATTCTCCAGATCATATACCAGTTTAGTAAACTCATCAATGTTCTCATCAATTGACCTTGTTTCATCCATCTTGAAACTGTAGAACTTGTGCTTCAGGTGGATCCGGTTAGGCAAAGCTTTGGTCAAGTAGAGCTCTTCCAATTTATTCCACATCTCAGGCGCCGTCTTCTCCTTAATTACGTTCCTCAGAACTGTATCAGATAGGCTAAGTATGATGGCGTTCCTTGCCTTCTTTAGAATTTTAGCATCAATTTTTGACTTCCCTTCCAAAGCTTCTTCCAAACCAAGATTACCCAGATGAGCCATCATCTTTTCCCTCCACAAATTGAAGTCATTCTTGCCATTAAATTTCTCTATCTCAAATTTGGATGTGAACATTATGTGATCAAGATTCTGGCCAAGAATCTATTTTTCACAAAAATGCGTTCGGCCAATTGAAGAAATCAGACCAGAAACTTCCACGCTCTGATACCAATTGTTTGGATTTTTGGAGGCTATCTTTACTTTGTATTTATTTAAGAAGCTTAGTAATCGGCAAAGCACCAGCAGAAAAGGAGAAAAATTGGCTGAAATTGAACTTACCGTATATGGTTTATGCATACCGGATATTGCTTCTTCATACCGGATATACTTGCAACTTACCGTATTTGCACTAATGCTTTAAAATTGATTCTGAACGCACAGACTTAAAAGAAAAAATGTGATTACCAGTAAGATTCAACACTTAAGAGCGATTTAAATAGGAAGAAATCCTCTTCCGACACTTTATTACCAAAGCAAAACATGATTTAAACACTTGAAATCATACAAGAAAGATTTTTCCAGATTAATAAGAATTCTACCATTCTTATCAAATCTCACTTTCTATCCCTCTTTCACTCTCAAAAGTTTTCTTACTTTTGTACTACCTAAGGCTCCTATTTATAAACCTAAATGAGGTTCCATTTCGATTATTAACTACCAACAAACAAGGCTCCAAGTTGTTGAAGATTGCAACCAACATCAGTTGAAACAAACTGGTAACTGAAGGCTCCATTTAACTGAATTTATTCTAACAGATTTGGTAAAAATAAGGTTGTCCAATTCTTCTTCAAGAATCACTTTTCCTTACCCTTTCATATATGTTGTGAAGTCCATTTCGATAACTTCTATGCAATTGAATAATTCCATCCATATCCACAAGTAGGGAAGCAACAATAAGTCAATAAATCAATTTTATCCCTAAACGTGTACAATAATGAAATAATTAGAACAAAACATTTTCAAAAGGACATTTTCAAACACCATAGCCTAATTTATAAATATTGAACCGGTAGGAAAGAGGATGTGCATGAAAGATACTTTTTTTTTCTTCATTTAAGTCCGACGTGTACACAATTTTCATAATCACGTAGAGAACACTACGGGGATATTAAATTGAAGTCTAAAAGTTAAGCTTTAAAGGAGACAGACTAGTATATTTAAATCATGTCCCGAATAATAAAATGCAATTCCACAAAAAATAACTAACCAAATTAATAAATGAATACCTTTCTCCTGTTGGTTTTGTTCTTTCTTGGAAGTGAATTGTTGAGGATTATTCTTAAGCTTATTGATATTGGCAAGCTGAGCTTTCCTACTCTGCTCAAGTTCTTCCATCAGCTTATCCTCAATTGAAGTATCATACACTTTGCCTTCACCAAATCCCCGTGGTTTGTTTTCAAGCCATTTCTCCATTTCCTTTAAAGGAATATCCGCCTCATCATCTTCTTCGAAATCACCATCAGTTTCTATATCTATAAATTCATCTTCAAAATCATTCGCAAATTCATCTGGACCGTCCAATTTCAACCCACTAAAATCACCCCTTTTCTTTGTTTTTAACGCATGTAAGCAAAACCCCGTTGGCTTTTTCCCAAAAGAATAGAAATTCGGAGAAAATAAGAAGTGGGTTTTGATGGGAAAGTGAAAATTTTGTGAGGGGATAGCGTTGCATATAGATTTCAATGGAAATTTCCCAAGGCTCAGCATATTATGGAAATAAATAAACAATTTTATTTTGTTGAATGGTGAGATTTGTATTGTATAACTGGTTTTAATTTATGGGTGAAAATTTCTGCATATGCAGAAAAGAGATTGAATTCTCAGCGAAGATAGGGAAGGAGTAGAAACATTAATGTAGTAAAGGCCTAAAGATACGGCAGTGCGTGGGGGAAAGAAATGGCATCAAGGGCGTCTATTACACAAGAAGCCTGACTTATAAATTTTAACGGTATGTTTGATCAGAATTTATTTTTTTAAAACTCATTTTCAATCGCACATTATTGAATAAAATAATTTTATATATAAATTGAAAAACTTTCTTTAATTTTTAACTATACATTTTTCAAAAAATTATTATTTAAAAATGCATTTTTCTTTAAAAATGGGACTCAAACAAGTATTAGGCACCGTTTGGTATCCATTATTCTAGAAAAAAATACATTCTTTTTGTCAAATCACACATTTTTTGTGGTTGAAAATGAAGGAAAAGTTATTGATGTGATGGAAAATATTATTTTATTGATGAATGTGTGGTTGAAAATTAGTAGAAGAATGATAATGAAAAAAAGAATGAATACCAAACAGAGGCTTAATATATAGATGGATGAGTTAATTGTTTCATTAGTCACAGTACTATACACTTCCGTTTCACTAAAACGGCCACCGAATGGATTCCGTCCGTCATTGCGTACATGTTGTCGACGGATCGATGATAAGCTGACTTGGCTATTAAAAATGACCAAATGTTAAATGATTTGGGCACGTGGATGACAAATCATCCAAACAAATCCTTACCCATTCTTCAATTATTTATCTATTCATCAAAATCCTTCCTCACAAATAGCTCCAGTTAAACCTAGCTCCCAAATCCATTTCTTATCACAATATGTGTTCACGTGCAAAGGGGCTAAAACGAATTCACGTCGCGAAGATTCGTAACCCCAAAATCCTTGAAACGTCCATTTTCATTCTGCAATCTCTAGGTGAAATCCTTTCTCCAATATTCGTAGCCCTAACCCCAAATCCAAGTCATATTCCCATAGTGATTTGACCTGCGAATTAGAACACACAAAATCACACCCTAACCCCAATTAGAACACTTTGATTCGGCTTGCGGTAGGTGAAATTGGCAACCAATATTGCACATTGATGGTACACTACATTTGAAGGCATTCTAGGTTTACATGTATTTTTTTTAAAAATAAAAGGATGTTGATTTTAAACATCTGGTTGAATTCAAAGAGCCAATCGTGTGTTAAAATTTTAGGATGCTTTTCAAATTTGTATGATAGTTCCGCATAGATGCATAGGGCTGAATGCTAAATTGCGGTAATTAATTTGAATGCTTCAGGATATGCTTAACTGTTTTTGAATTTCTTGGTTGCACATATTAATCCAGAATGGTAGGGAGAAACAAGGGTATTTGTCATAGCTATAGGAAGCGTGGGCACATGTTTCAGAATACCCAACAAAGAAACGATGTCGAGACTATGAATTGGGCATCTTGAAATGTATGGAGGTAGAGAAACAAACTAGAAATATATGCTGTTTATTCTTTGTTGTACCAGATATTGTGGTTATTTCTAGTAGATCAACGATCCATCATCGTCGGAAGAAACACCTTTGCAACAGAAAACTGTATATTCGTTTCAATAATTCATAGGCCTAGAACATGTAGTGTTTGATATCAACACACAAAATACTAATGTTCACGAAAATATGTTCACTTTGTAAATCACCGCAAGTGTACGATTCGTTAACAAGAAATAAAGTGAAATTGTAAAATTTCGAATGTCGTCCCACGAGAATTGATTTAACTTGATCTCTATTATCAAGACCTTAAACGAAACGATTAAACTCGAGATGATTTTCTAGATTCTTCGATTAAACTATGATTATTATGCAATTTAAACGAACTAAATGCAACAATAACGTTTGAATGCAAACAAGTTGAAGAAATTAATGAATGAAAAGTGCATTAGGATCTCGAATCACCAAGTAAGATCACTTTTTAACCTCTATTTTAGAATTCGATAACACGACGAATTGGTTGAAAAATCAATGTTTCTAACTTGACCAATAATCTCTTTCGAGTAGAATTGAACCAATTCTCACANTCTAGTAGATCAACGATCCATCATCGTCGGAAGAAACACCTTTGCAACAGAAAACTGTATATTCGTTTCAATAATTCATAGGCCTAGAACATGTAGTGTTTGATATCAACACACAAAATACTAATGTTCACGAAAATATGTTCACTTTGTAAATCACCGCAAGTGTACGATTCGTTAACAAGAAATAAAGTGAAATTGTAAAATTTCGAATGTCGTCCCACGAGAATTGATTTAACTTGATCTCTATTATCAAGACCTTAAACGAAACGATTAAACTCGAGATGATTTTCTAGATTCTTCGATTAAACTATGATTATTATGCAATTTAAACGAACTAAATGCAACAATAACGTTTGAATGCAAACAAGTTGAAGAAATTAATGAATGAAAAGTGCATTAGGATCTCGAATCACCAAGTAAGATCACTTTTTAACCTCTATTTTAGAATTCGATAACACGACGAATTGGTTGAAAAATCAATGTTTCTAACTTATCTAATAATCTCTTTCGAGTATTATTGAACCTATTCTCGTATACCATTTGACTATATTTCTATGACAAATGCAATATACAAGAATGCAAGATATTTTGTAAACACTTAGAGATTCAGGTAAAGTATAGCGGTATATTTATATCCGCTATCGGACCCTACGACGATTTATACATTGTAGAATTTATTTCCATTCTTTCGAATACATAAAATAGATCACCCAAACTCACATAATCACATGCATTTAACTATGGAGGTAAGAAAGTGTATATAAATCATTCAACATCCATCAATTGTATTTGAATATCAAATTGTAAAATAGAGAATTAAAAGATCATATCGCTAGATTCATCGTTCACCTAATACATAAAAAGTCTAGCCTAACGTGAATAAAAATAAAGAATAATAAGAATATTTAGGAAAAGACATCACCCAAAATTTGAATATGAATCTTGAATTATTCAATCTTCGATTTACAAATCTCTTGGTTTTGCCTTCTCCTTGATTTTAAATGAATTTTCCTCTATAAAGTGGCGTTAACTCTTGTTTCTGGACAACTTTCGACTTTTATAGTTGCTCTAAATTCCTTTCCATAAGAGGTTGAACGAGAAAAGGAAATAAAAAAATTCTCGTCGAAAAATAATCATGCGGCCACATGGAACAACATTTTCCTCATCTGACTCCCTGGAATGGTCCACGCGGCCGCATGGTAGAAAATTTCTAATGGTAGAGTGATTTTCCCACTGGACAGCTTTCAATGTTTTCATCATATCTTTCTCTCTCAATATCTGATTGAGGTGATTCAAATTGAATTGGAAAGATTACTCAAAGGGCTACAAATTTTCCTGAAATATAAATCTTCAAATTCGAACGTCTTATATTCTAAAAATGGATCTCAAACTAAGACTGAAAATTCGAAACATAACTTTTTGGGTTGGAAATTGATATGAAATAGTACTTCCACTATATTTCATCCCGTTGGCTCCTTTCCTCATCCAATTGATGCTCAACACTCTCAAATCTTCATCGTGAGATCGACACAACTTTTCAGTAATTGCACTTGAGTCCTCAAACTTTGATTGTGCTTTATTTTAGTCGTTTTTAGCTTGTTTTTCGATTTTCACCATGTTCATCATCCTTGTCCTGCAAAACACAAATTACATCGAATTAAACTATATTCCACATATTTATTAACAATTATCCATGTTTGGGCCTACAATAAGTATGTAAAAATGCACTTATCAACTCCCCCAAATTTGAACTATTGTTTGTCCTCAAACAATTATAACTTAATTCCACATAAAACATGGTTAGATAATCTACCGTATCTCAGGATCAGAACTTAGTACTAAACAAAATGAATAACTACAATAGTGCATAATCAAATCAATCTTCACATGTTATATGCATAACTTGACGTGTATGTGTGTAAAAACGCATGCCAACATATTAAGATAATGATTAGCTCAACACCTGACCCAGAGCAATCAAATATTTCTTTACTTCGCTCGAGAGATGCACACACCCCCAAACTTAGTATTTTCACTCTATTTTCCCGGGGTGCATTCGAAGTTGAACTTATTCAATTCTAGTCCTTACCCTCTCTCAGTTTAGATAGATCTTACTATCACAAGTTCACAAATCAACAAGTAGAGATTCTTCTATTTTTTATTTCTTCAACATTTGAGACTAAACTGAGCTAGTTGCCTTGCATTAGAGATATAGTCTTATCAATCGAGTGTTTGGGGCTAATCAATACATTTAATACATAAGAGTATGTATGTAATCCATCAATAAATAGATACCATTTTTTTTTCTTTTCTTTTATATAACATCTTTCATTTGCTTTCTATATAACCTCTGTAGCGAGTTTTAGACCGATGACTCTCAAATCAGATGACCATAGGATATCAAGTTTTAAACTCTTACATGCTTAATCACTCGAGTTATACATGCTCGACAGATGTCTTTGTTTACTCAATGATTAGTGCAATGCCCATTTTCTTTTAGACACCCAATTTCTGAAACTGCACCATAACTTGAAACTTCGTTTCCCTCTCATTGATTTTAGAAAATTCACACATAACATCATGTACGAAACCCCTACTCATCTCGGTGCGCCCTTGCAACAGTTCAATCACATCTAAACTATTCTAAAAATTGGTCATGGTTTAGCATAAAAGAGGTTATTCGAGTTTATTCACTATTTTCAACTATTTCTAAGTAATGGACCAAATCATCAACTCAATATGTAAACATAAGTATTGTGCACTAAAAATGTCAAATTTAGCATTCACAAGCTTTGATTAATCTAATAGTGAACTATTTTCATCATTCACAGTTCATACCTAGTCCAATATTCACATCATGGTAGGCAAAGT